GAGCCGCGGCACGGCCGAGTCGCGGCGCGCGTTGAGCTTGAAGTACAGCACGTCTTCCAGCTCCCAGCACAGCAGGTCCTTGAGCAGCACCAGCGACTCGTCGAAGTACTCCTGCAACAGCACCAGGTGGAAGCGGCGCTCCACCTCCAGGATGTGCTCCTCCACGCGCGGGCTGCCGGGGTCCAGGCCGCTGTCGTAGCCCAGGTCGAAGAAAAGCAGGTTGCGGAGGTAGTGGGCGTTGTAGCCATTGGGGTCGTAGTAGCGGCCCGGGTCCTGCAGGAACTCGGCCAGCTTGTCGCGGCCCGAGAGCTTCCACGTGAGCGGCACCACGGGCCCGAAGTAGTGGAAGGAGGATTCGAAGAGGCGGGCGGGGTCCCGGAGCACGGTGATGAAGGTGGCGTTGGGCGGCACCAGGCCGCGCACCTCGTCGTAGTGGAAACGCATGTGGTTGCAGATGATGTTGAAGCAGGCCCCGGGCTGGTAGTCCTGCACCAGGCTGCGGGCGAAGAAGGCCGGGTAGTCAAAGTCATTGCGGCCGTTGGGGAAGGCGAACTTGAGCCCGTGCTTCTGGCCAAAGCGGAACAGGATGTTCAGCAGTGTGCTGCTGGCCGTCTTGTGCGTCTTCATGAACACAATGTCGCGCCGAGGCTGGCACCCGCCCGCTGACCCATTGGCTGGAGTCGCTGCCTGGGGCTCGACAGGGGCGGGGGAGCAGGGTGCTGCGGTCTCTGGGGACCTGTTGGGGTGAAGGAGAGGTGGGGAGAGCCTCAGGGGGCTGCTGGAGTCCTGAGCCCCACCCTCACCCTGATAGGTGGAGAGCTAGGGACAATTGTGGCAGAATGGCTGGGGTGGGGGGACCAGACAGGCCTGCATCCCAAGTGTGGGCCTGGGTCCAAGATTTGGCCTGTGTGGTCTAAAGCATTTGACTGCTAACCAGAAGGTTGGCGGTTCAAATCCCCCAGCCACTCTAAGAAAGGAAGATGGGCAATCTACTTCTGTAGATTTACCACCTTGGAAACCCAATGGCGGTTGCTATGAATCTAATCCACTGGATGGCAGCCAGTTTGTTTGTTTTGGCCTCAGTTTCCTCATCTGTGAAATGGGGACACTAAAAGGCTCTACTCTTGATGTTGGCTTAAGATCAAACCCAGATGGATGGAGCAGTCAGTCACAGGAGAAGAGAAGGCAGTGTTTGCACAGGGAGACAGCTCCAGGTGCAGGAGTGCATGGGAGAGAAGGACACACAGAAGAGGTAACTACAGGGAGGAAGTAGGAAGAGAGCTGTTACATTGTGGGGAACTGCCATCAATGTCCCGAGACAACATGTGTATGAACTGCTGTATGGAAAGTTAATGTGGCTGTAAACTTTCACCCAAATCACAATAAACACAATAAAAAGTAAAAAGAAAAACAACAACAAAAACCCAGATGGAACACAACAGGCCCTCCAATCAAGATAGCTTGTCCTACATTTGTCATGAATTAGTGTCAGGTTCCAAGAAACCAAACCAAATTCACTGCCATCAAGTTGATTCCACTCATAGTGACCCCTCCTTGGTTTTCTGAGACAGTATCTCTATGGAAGTACATAACATTGCCTTTTTTTTCCCAGAAAATATTAGAGACATTGGGGGTACAGACTACTTAAATTGAGAAGGCAGTGACTCCTACTGGGTTAGGTAGACTGCTCTGGTGGGTCACAAAGGGCTCCTAATGGCAAAAACCGTAGGCAGCTGGGGTACAGCTAAGCTTATCTTCATTGACTGGCATTGCTGCAGGCAACCAGCGTGCAGAGGGGTACAGCAAATTCTCTTCTGATAGGTGGACACTTAAGGGGTCAGAACTAAGGTGTGAAAAATGACAACTATGTCAGAGAGTAAGCAAAAAGGGGTCAAGAACCTGCCAAACACTGTAGTCATGTGTTTCCTGGCATCTAGACACCTGCAGCCCGTGTTAAACTAGGTTATTTCAGCTTGATGGTGGTAGACTTCGTTAAAACACCAAAAGCAAAGTGTTTGCTGAAGGAGTGGGATGATTATGTGTGAAAATGCTGAATAGTCTAATGCTTAAAGAGAGGAAAAGGGTTTTTGACACAGCCGTAAGGCTGTCTCTACTTATTCTAACCATAGGCACATCTCTCAACCTACTTAAATGTGAACACAGTTTGTTCTCTTTCCTGTAACCTGTTGCAAGCAAAACAGGCAAAAATCAACAACTTCAAAAAATGAAGGCAAGCCCATCTCTTAAAAATTTCCATTCTGCATGTGGGGTGAACATTTACCCCAGGTAGAGATGAATCATGGGAAAACAGAAGGGCAATATTTACACTGGGAGATTGGAGTGTGGGCAGGAATGCATAGGAAAGAAGGACACATGGAAGAGGTAACTACAGGGAGGAAGTGGGAAGAGAGCGGATACACTGTGGGGAATTGCAGTCAATGTCTTGAGACAAAATGTGTATGAACTGCTATATGGAAAATGAACCTGCTCTGTAAACTTTCACCCAAATCACAATAAAAATAAAAATAATAATAATTCCATTCTGTAGCAGCAATAAAACTCAAAGGTATACGAGTCAAGATGGAGTCACTCTTGTTCCCTTGACATGAGTCCAGGCCAGGCCAAGAGCCTGTTTTGGATGGTCCCTTCGTCAAAGCTTAGTTTCCTGTTAGGAAATACCTCGGGGGAGGCAGACATCGTGGGTGCCTCTGACCCCGCCCCTGCCGTCTCCTGGCACTGACCCTGCTGTCCGGCTGACCACTCCATCCCCTCTCCCAGGCAGCATGTAGAACGCTTGCTCTCAAGCCACTCTTCTCCCTCCACCCAAACCAATCCGGGAAAATTACCTTTTTTTGTAGGCAAAAAAAAGATCAGTTATTGGCAGTTTCCTGTAGCTTGACTTAATGCCACTAAGCAAGGGGTTAGGCTGTGGCAGGGCTTGCCTACTCTGTGAGGAGTGGGATAGTCTGATGGTTAGGAGCCCAGAGTCAGAAGCCAGTTGGAATCCAGGCCCTGTGCCAGTTGTGTGACCTTGGACAAGTAAGTGCCCACTCCCTGGCCCCTGCTGGAGCCCTGATACTCTTGAGCTCTATACACACTGCGTTACCCGATCCTCATGCTCTATGGGTCGGGTCCTGTTACTATCCCCACTTCACAGATGAAGACACTGAGGCCCGGGATTGCACAGGGAGTGCTACCCACAGTGGATGTGTGCTCGGTTTGGCATGGTACGGGGCACAGAGCGGCTGCCCAAGAGGTAGCCCTGATTATTGGGGTGGCCCTGTGGGGGAGCAGCTCCCCCCTCCCCCCTCCCACTCACGTGGTGGCCAGGCTGGCCTGCAGCGGGGGCACAGCGTAGGAGTACAGCAGTAACAGGAAGCTGGTGAAGAGTGCGCCCAGCACCAGCCCCTTGGCCATGGACTCCCAGCGCTTCTTCTGCAGCGGCATCTCCGCACCTGGGGGACACAGGGTGGGGCAGGCGTCAGGACCCGGGATGTAGGGAGCCCCCTGAGGCTGGCCCTTGATGCTGGGACCTGCCTTCTTCTGTAGCCACCCTGGCAGGGTTCAGGCAGAGACAGAGAGTCAAACGCATAGAGAGACATGCCCCAGAGAGAGATGGGCAGGGAGAAAAGAGAGGGTGGGTTAAGCCAACTCAAAGGAGGTTCGGGAGCGGGGCAGGGAGAAGAAGGTTCTGCTGCCTGGCTCTGTTCTAATTTTCAAGCTGGGTGATGGGTACAGGTGGTCCGTTTGCTTTGATCATTACTTATTTACAGCTTTTTGGGCTTCAAAATGAAATAGCTTCTTTTTTTTTTTCTTAGTTAAAAGGAAAAGGCCCTCTCCCAACACTCATCCTCCCCAGGCCTGGGACCAGGGCTGCCACAGGGAGGGGACAGAGGATCCCCAAGGTCAGCCCTCGACTTTTGGAAGTTTCCAGCCACCCCACCTGTCCCCTGTGCCACCCTCACAGCTGCCCATGTGTGGCCAAGGCTCCTCCTCACCCGTCCTCACTGGCCCGTGTGAGGCAGATGGAGAGACTGAGACTCGGGAAAAGTTGGGCGAGGCTTTTGGCCACACAGCAGGCCAGGCCCCTACCCACATACCCACCTCCTCTTCCCTTCCTAGTGTTACCTGAGCCGCCAAGGGAAACGCTAACACCAAGCAGGATGGTGAAACGAGATTGCCCCCTTAAATTTGACTTTCAGCTAAATAATGAATAAATTGTTCAGTATAAATATGTTCTAAATATTGGATGGAACTTACACTAAAACAAATTCATTGTTTATCTGAAATTCATATTTAACTGGGTGTCCTATTTTTTTAAGGGGGTGTTGAAATGTGGCAACCCCACCAGCAGAAGACTAAGACATAAGTTGTAGGTGGGTAACTCAGGCTGCAGGGTGACATCTAGGAGAGAGCTGGGCTCAGTGGGCCCTCCTGCCACCCCTTAGCTGTAAGGCCAGGGCCTAGAACTTTCCACTCCTGTCCCAATGCATGTTGCATTGCACCCTAGGCCTCAGAGGCCACGGACGGGAGGTCACACGTGCTGCCCCGTGACCCTGCACACGGCACGACATCACTGACCCTGGGGCACAGAAGCCCGGAAGCTTGCCTGGGAAGGACCCCATACACTTCCTCTGGAAAAGTTACATGAGGCACCCACAAACCCCTCCCGCCTGCTCCCAGAGAAAGGGGCACCCCAGGCCCACCAGACTGGTTAGAACTAGTGCCTGAGCCCTCCGTTTGTCATCTAGCAATTTCTCCTCACAGTGAAGGAGACCAAGAAGCAATACACAAACTATAGGTGAGGGAACTTGGCCTCCCTTGTTGGCGAAATATCCCTGTTCACCATTGGACAGGCAACGTGGGCAGGGCTCAGAGTGCGGGGAGAGGGTTTCCAGAGGGCGATTCTATCAAAGGCACACGTCAGAAGCCCTCTTGTCCCCAACTATCTTGCAGACATACTTGAGCAAATGAGCAAAGTCATGGGTGAAAGGATGTTCACAGCAGCTTGGTCAGAGATAGAAAAAAAGTAGAAACAACCTCAGCGTCCATCAGAAAGGGTCCGCAAATAAATCAAGGCCCAGTCCCAGATGGAGTCATCTAGAGACATGAAACAAATCAAGGCTGACACCTGTGCACCAGTGTGCATTGCACTTTGCTCACGAGAGCCAAGAGGTGGAAACAGCCTACATGTCCATCAGCAGATGAATGACTAAACACAGTGAGGTCTATAAATACAATGGAATATTACTTGGCTATAAAAGGAAATGAAGTCATGGACGTCGCAACATGGAGGAACTCTAAAAACATCATGCTGAGTGAAATAAGCCAGTCACAAAAAGACAATACTGTATGATCTCCAAAACCCAAACCCACTGCCATTGAGTCAATTCCAACTCATAACAACCTCCATTGGGTTTCAAAGGCTGTAAATCTTTACGGAAGTAGATTGCCTCATCGTCCTCCCATGGAGCAGCTGGTGGGTTTGAACCACTGACCTTCAGGTTAGCAGTCAAATGTCTTACCCTCTATGCCACCAGAGTTTCTTGGATGATCACTTAAGTGAAATAAGCAAATATATAGAAAGCAAAGCCTATTAGTGGTTAGCAGGGGCGGGAGGGAAGGGCAAAGGGGGTGTGCAGTGCAGTGAATTACTTAGTATGGCCTTTCTAACCATACACTCACTGGAGCAGGGCAGAGGCCAAGGGGCCACGAGGCTGAGGGCCAGAGAGAGGTGTGCAGCAGGCAGTCCTGAGAAGAGGCTGTCCTGATTCTGTCCTGATCAAAGAACTGTATCCTTAGTCACTTCTGATCCTGAATTGTAAACTGTTAACTTCCCTAATAAACCCCATTTGTTGTTGTTGTTATGTGCCATCAAGTCGGACCCGACTCATAGCGACCCCTCCTTGGGTTGCTGAGGCAGTATCACTACGGAAGTAGATTGCCCAACCTTCCTTCCGAGGAGTGGCTGGTGGGTTTGAGCCGCCAGCCTTCTGGTTAGCAGTCAAGTGCCTTAGGCACTATGCTACCAGAGCTCCTAATAAACCCCATAATGGTGAGTATTGTTTGTTAGTTCCGTGTGGTCACTACAATGAATTATCAAACCCAGCAGAGAATTAGAGAGCTCCCTGGGAGGGACAGCTGGTGTCAGAACTGGTAAAAAGGGCGGAGGGTGGAGGCATGTCTGGCCTCTGCCTCCTAGGAATCAGCCTTAGACTTTCCCGCTGGTGAAGTTAGAGGAGGTCAAATGTCACTGCCAGACCACTGTCACAGGGAATTATTTTTTAAAGGGCACTGAGTTTATGTTGCAGCTCTGGTGGCGTAGTGCCTAAGGCATTTAACTGCTAACCAGAAGGTTGGGGGTTCAAACCCACTAGCCACTCCGTGGAAAGAAGACTGGGCAATTTTTTTCTGTAAAGATTCACTGCCTCAGAAACCCAGAGGAAGTTGCTATGAGTCAGAATTGACTCGATGGCAGTAAGTTTGGTTTTTGTTTTGAGTTTATGTTGAGGTATCTGGTGGCATGTGTTAAAGCATTGGGCTGCTAACCAAAAAGTTGGCGGTTCAAATTCATGGGAGAAAGATGAGGCAGTCTGCTTCTGTAAAGATTTACAGCCTTGGAAACCCTACGGGGCAGTTCTACTCTGTCCTATAGGGACCCTACGGGGCAGTTCTGCTCTGTTCTACAGGTCAACAGGGTTGCTATGAGGCAGAATCAACTCAGTGGCTGTGGGTTTTGTTTTTTTTTTTTTTTTAGTTTATGTTAATGGTGGCGAAATGAGTCGGAGAAGGGCAGTGACATGCATAACATGAAAACTGTAATCAATACGTATAAAAATCATAGAATTTTCATATGTTTTTAATGTATATTCTTGACACCAGCCACTCCTCAGAAAGAAGACTGGGCAATCTACTTCTGTAGTGATACCGCCTCAGAACCCCAAGGAGGAGTTGGTATGAGTCAGATCCGAGAGCAGTGAGTTTTTTGGTTTGGTTTTCAACACACTCACACACAAGAAAACCAACTTTCAAGAAAGACAACAACAAAACAAAACCAAGGTCAAGGTAAGTGGACTGGCCCAGGAACACTCATGATCTGTTTATGCAAAAAGAAAAAGAAACAGAGGCAATATGCTCCCCCCCAAATCCACACGTATGTAGGTAAATAACATACATGTTGTTGTTAGGGGCCATTGAGTTGGCTCAGACTCATAGTGACCCTATGTACGACAGAACATACATGTAGGCCCAGAAAAAAACAATACCAAAAACTCAGTGCTGTCAAGTCGGACCCAACTCATAGCGACCCCTCCTTGGGTTTCCAGGCCGTAGCACTACAGAAGTAGATTGCCCAACTTTCCTTCCGAGGAGTGGCTGGTGGATTTAACCTGCCAGCCTTCTGGTTAGCAGTCAAGTGCCTTAGCCACTATGCTACCAGAGCTCCCAGTGACCCCTAGCGAGGCAGTATTCTAGATTTTGGAGTCCCTGGGTGGCGCAAACAGGGGGCACTGGTGGAGTAGTGGTTAAGGCATTTCGCTGTTAACCCAAAGGCCAGTGGTTTGGTTCTACCAGCCACTCGACGGAAGAAAGATGAGACAGTCTGCTTCCGTAAAGATTTACAGCTTTGGAAAACTTAATGGGTGTCGTTATGAGTAGGGAATTGACTTGACTGCAGTGGCTTTGGCTTGGTTTGGGTGGTGCAGACAGTTAAAGTGCTTGGTTGCTAACCGAAAGGTTGGCAGTTGGCGGCCACCCAGAGCCCCCTCAGTGTAAAGGCCTGGCGAGTCACTTCTGAAAAATCAGCCATCAAAGACCCTATGGAGCACAGTTGGACTCTGACATGGGGTCACTCTGAGTTGGAGTCAACTCAAAGGTTTGGCTAGTTTCAATGTTAACACTGGTTTCCTGTAATGCAGAGGGGGAGGGGCACACAAGCGAATATTTTTCTATATTGTTTATTTTTGTAATGGTCACATGTTTCAAAGGCGCATGTAATACCTTCTTAGGAGCCCTGGTGGTGCCGTGGTTAAATTACTTGACTGCGAACCAAAAGGTCAGCGTTTCAAACCCACCAGACGCTCCACAGGAGAAAGCTGTGGCAGTCCGCTTCCATAAAAAGATTATAGCCTTGGAAACCCTCTGGGGCAGTTCTACTCTAAGGTTTCTATGAGTTGGAATCAAGGGTTTGTATGACTTTCTTAATCACAAAAAGGTAGTAAAATGTACTTAAGGTATTCAAATAAGTAATAAAGCTTTCAAAGTGAGGTGAGCTGGCCAGAGGAGGGGGTGTTCACCTCAGGCTCTGGAACCCCAGGCCTGGGTTCCGACCTAGGGCTGTGACTTTGGACAATCCAGGAACCCTCTCGAAGCCTCAGTTTCTCCCCTGTAAACTGGGGGTGCTAGAAGCCCCTCTTGCAAGGCTTTTCAGAGCCTTTGTGAGATGGGACAGTCAA